AATTCCGGAAATCTATCAACACTATGAATTTGTTGTTCATTTTATTATTTTGCCTCTCAAACTGGGCCAATTGCAGCAGGCTGACCACCTGGCGGTGTAGCCCTGGTCAAAGCAAATGAAGAAGTTGCATGTTTCATAATTGGAGAACCAGTTTATGATTTATGTAGCTGATCCAAATAAGCATTTTAATGACGGGGTAAATAGGAAATTATAACACAAGGTAATTAAAGCTCAATTGGTGTTAGCTTGAGAAGGAACTTTATTTGCCATTAATCGGATTCGGAATAGCTTCGACATTCCGCTGTTATTTTTCCTTCAAAAACTGGCAGCACAGCGCAATCATCATCAATAATCGTCCACTGATAAGGCGCTGACCCATCTTCACAGTCACTCTTAAACAGAAATCTGAAAGCAGTACACTGGATATCGCTAAATAGATTATGCTTCAACATGAACGTTCCTCGGGAAGACTTCTGTCACCTTTTCTATCCAGATTCTTTTCATTTTTTTGCCACAAAAATATTTCCATAAAAAACTAGACTTGCGGTGTTTGATTTTATAGATTTAGTTTCTCTCAACTGTTAAAACGCTTCTTTAAGGCGTATAAGCAGTGGCATTCGGAGTGCTCAGCACATACCGAAGATACTTCAGAGGGCAAGATCCTCATCAAGTGCTTTTCTAGGGAGAACAGTTTAGCCAATAATTCGTTCACGAGACGAAACAAACGTCAGGATCGACAAGAGATTGGTCATCAGGCAATGCAGCACTAGTCAAAGCAACTGGAAAATTTCCAGCTGCATAGCTGGGAAACCATCGCGCGAACTAAAGAGCTGTTCCAAAGCAAATCAAACCATGCTGTCACTTATTGCAGAGACTCAACCATTTTCGCGCATAAAAGAGAATCATTTTCGTGCATTAACTGCGTCTTATTCAAATCAAAACTGTGACTGAATTACAGGAAGAAATTTATAGTTAAAAGGGCTAGAATTCGTGATTTGTAGCTAGAGCAGAATGTACTTATCGTTTTATTTTGAAAAATTTGTACCTTAGTGCGTTGGAACTGCCAATCATTCACTTATTTTGAGGCATAAGTCAAAAACGAAAGCCTTTAGCATCCTCAGTATTACGTCGCTCATTGAAGAACGTTCCATTCACTGAAAGGCTGTTACCTTTTTGTACTTCGAGAAGAAATGCCAAAACAACGCCGAAATTCACGAAATGTGATATCTCGCATTTCTAGCTTTGCAACAAACGGTGCTTCCGCGTTTTCCTCCTTGTAAGAAACAGTAAGCTGCTGATGCCTTGGTCGTTGAAATGAGTTGCTGTTGAGGCTGTCACTGTAATTAAAAAAGTTATAGACTTGCTTATAATTTATTGGACTATCAGACTTAAAAAGGAAACAGACACAGTCTTCTACATGTTGGGACATTATAGTGAAAGATGGACGGGGAAAAGAATAAAAAAAGAGAGGAGACAGAAAAAAGTACAAGCAAAATAAAGAGAGAAGATATTTTAGTTCAGTGAGCCTCAAGCACTAAAGAAGGCAAATTCACGAATTCCGGAGACAAAAATTTGGTTCTGAAGTAACGCCCAGAAGAACATCTTGATCAACTGGTCACTTTAGAATAATACCTGCCTCTTGAAAAGTATAATATTCGGAGCGGTTTTTGTCGTGATTTTGATTGGCATCTCGTTTTGAGTAAAACAAAAAACACCTCATCAAAAGATTTTGGAGTGCAGTTAACCTAATTGCTTCAAATTTGGCGCAAAAACTCATAATCGCTCGCCTGGTGCGTTCCAGCTTGAGTTACATCAACATACGTGCAAGAACGCGTAAAAACAGCCAAATGTGCTTATTGTTAAATTAACTTACACGAATGAAGGCGGTTGGTTGTGTTCCGGAGGGAATGAGCGATAGCAAAAACTGCTCGTTGAGACCTCGCTACAGGCTGAAATTAATCTTTC